GTCCATGGCAGAGCCAGACTTTAATGGATTTTCAGCTATGTCCCTTAAGATTAGCCAACATGCTTTTCTGATAAGTGCTGGGAAATGTAAATCAGTTGAGGAAGTTCTGCAAAATGTGTCAGAAGACAATTTCCTGATTAAAAAACAAAACAAAAAAAAAAGTGAAAAAGCACCAGGGGTGGACAGTTCCATTTCTAATGCCTAACAAGGAAGAAATCACTGCAAGCCTGAGACTTTCGGGCTACTTGGATTGGGTGGCTAAAGGGAACTTACGCAGGTTTACATCCAAGTTACACAAACTTGGAGGAAGCAGATTACTCATGGAACGGCCTGAGCCATGCATGTGAGGTGGATGCAAAACACTGAGGTTTTTATGCATCTCCAACAGGGTTTGAGTAAATCAGAGCTGCTCCCCCCCAGCCCCCAGAGTGAAATCAGTGCCAGAATCATGTTGTTCAGTAACCAAGTTGGGACCGTCTGCAACTCATTCCCAAATCCTCAGCCTCACTCAGGAGCATTTTCTCCAGTGATAAGGCTCCATCAGGAAACACAGCTGGATGGAGGAAGGAAATTCTGAGAAGCAAAAAAAATAGTGGGGGTTCCAGGAAGTTCAACCAGATAGGAACTAATGGAATTTGTTTTTCTGTCTCCCCAGCTCCTAAGTGTTCCTAAGCAAGTGAGAAAATCGCAGGGAAAAGTGGGGGCAAAAAACAAGTCTGGCAGATCTTACCCTGCAAAACAGGTCCTCACTGCAGGTCTCCAGGGAGCATCATAATTACAATTCAATATTTTCGATCACTTGCTCTCCCTGGGAAAAACTGCAGACGTTTTCAATTTAGGTCCACTCTGAAGCCCAGCCATTGTTTTCTTCCCCACCTCGTTTTTTTCACTTGTATATTTTTATTTTTTTTCTGGTTTTAAACAAAGGTCCCTGTGTAGTTTATTAAGGAGGTTTGAGTTGGACACATGATTTATCAAAAAGAATTTTAAAGAAAGGACTGTTATGCTGAACATTCAGGAGAATTAAAGGTTGCAATTGCCTCTGATTAGTAACACATATCCCAGAACCATCAAAACAACAGCGCTGTAGTTTTATTACTTCTAGAGAAACTCCTTTCTACCCCCAGGGGGCAAACAGAGTTTCCTTCCACATCCTTTGCAATTCCCCTCTTTTGCAATCTTTACAGTCCTCTGGCCAACTCCCTCTTCCTTTGATAAGGTAGATAATCCAAGTTTCAACATTCCCCACTTAGTGCTGCAGAGCTGGTGTTGAACAAGAGAAAGGATCCATTACCAGACCAGTCCTTGGCCACGGAGACAGTTAAAAAGGGAGTCTGAGATCAGCCCCAGAGTTAAGAGAGCTCAGATTAAGCTCACACAGAGCATCTCCTGCCAAAGGCTTTTCGAACAGTCAAGATCATAGAATGATTGCTAATGACTGGAAAAGAGTGGACAGGAAGGATTGGAACAGTGACACCTCTGATTTGTTAAGACCCTGTTTATCACTGCAGCAGTTCAGAGGTGACAGATTTTTGACAAGTACTTCAGAAGAGCCAGGATTATCTTGCTGGTCCAGAGACCATCACTGAGCCTTGAGCTCTCCCACCAATTCCCCTTGGAGCGGAAGCACAGATGGGATTCCCTGTGCTTTGCTTTTTTCTTCTCTTTTCCTAACCTCTAAATGCAGTTTGGTATAACACCAGCCAACCAGCAGGACCTAGTGCAACAGTGGGGAGGTTTAGATTGGATTTAGGAAAAATTTCTTTGTGGAAAGGGTTGTCTAGCACTGGAACAGGCTGCTCCAGGAAACAAAGGAGTCACCATCCCTGGAAGTGTTCAAGAAACATGTGGCTATAGCACCTGAGGACATGGTTTAGTGGTGAACAGGCTTGGAGTTGAGGATTGCAAAGCCTTTCCAGCCTTAACAATTCCATGATTCTGTGATCTCTTCTGCCCCTTAAGTGATTTCTTTTATCCACCCACTGGTATTTTGTCATGAACTTAAACTGGAGGCTTTAGGGAAGGCTGATAATCAAAACTCTGAACAAACTCCTGAAGAAGTTGCCATAGCTGACCCTGCTCTGAGCAGGGTGACTCCTCTCGAGACCTCCAGGTCTCCTCCAGTCTCAGCAATTCTGTGATTCAATGAAAAGCAGTTCCTGCATCTTCCCATGAAGTTACACCCAAGTTTTCATGATCCCAGACTGAAACAAATAGAAATAGGGGGGAAAAAGAATTAAGGTGAAAATCTTCGTCAAAAGATCAAGAGTGGAATGTTGGGATTGTTCAGTGCACATCAAATGTGTGCTGAATGCTTCTCAAACTGCATCTCTGAGAGCAGAGGAGGGAGATGATACCTGAGAAAGAGCCTCAGAGGCAGGACATCAAGCTAGAAAATCATGGAATGGGTTGGGTTGGAAGGGACATTAAGAGATCATCCAGATCTACCCTCTGCCATGGGCAGGGTCACCTTGCACCATCCCAGGTTGCTCCAAGCCCCATCCAACCTGGCCTTGGACACTTCCAGGGATCCAGGGGCAGCCACAGCTTCTCTGGAAAACCTGTGCCAGGGCCTCAGCACCCTCCCAGGGAGGGGATATCCCCAATATCCCATCTAACTCTGCCTTCTCTTAGTTTGCAGCCATTCTGTGTCCTGTCCCTCCAGGTCCTTGTAAACTGTCTCTCTCCATCTTTCTTGTAGCTCCTTTCAGGTACTGGGAAGACACAATGAGGTCACCCCAAAGCTTCTTTTCCCTAGGCTGAACAATCCCAATTCCCTCAGCCTTTCCTCCCAGCACAGCTGCTCCATCCCTCTGCTCATCCTGGTGTGTCCTCTGGACTCTCTTCAGCAGCTCCAGGGGTTTCTGGGCTGGGTCATGTCCAGCTCTCACCCACCAGCAGCACTCCCAAGTCCTTCTCCCAGGGCTGCTCCATCCCTTCATCCCCAGCCTGGATTGATCCAGGGGATTGCCCTGATGCAGATGCAGCACCAGCACTTGGTCTTTTTGAATCCATGAGATTCCTGTGAGCCACTGCTCCAGCTTTTCCAGGATCAACAGGGGTACTTCCATATGTCATCTCCACAGCTGCAATCAGATTCATGGATAGGAGCAGTTCTGGCTCCTATGGAAGTCCTTATCCTGTGGGAAACCAGCCCAGGGTTGTTGGAGCTGGAATTTGAAGGGAACTGGAGCCTACCACAACTTGCAGGCAAACCCAGGGCTCTGTAGGGCCTGTAGGGCCCTTCCTACCCCATCTCCACCCAGGAACAACTCAGTTACAGGAGAATGGCAGCACCTTCCTGCTCCTGCAGTGAGCTCTGTGCCACAGCAGGGAAATGCCCAGAGCTCAGGGGTTTCAAACCAGAAGGCAAACACAGAGAATTCCCACAAATCCTCACAGGGCACTTCCCTTTGTGCCACCTTAAGGACCAGGCTCTGGAACTTGATGGGAAGGGATCACAAGAGTTCATGGGTGCAATGAAACTGCTCGGAGCTGGAGGGCCTGAGCACTGCACTTCTGTTCTGTGCAAACTCCACAGATCTCTGATCCATGAAGAGAAGGGGGAGCTGGGGGAAGCAATTGTGCTGCCTCTGGCTTCCTCCCCTTGTGGCTGCTCAGCAGCAGCCAGAAAACAACAATGCAGCTCCAAATTCTGTTCCCTCCTGCCTGGATTTGCATGTGGAAATTTGGGTGCTTAGGAGGGAACAGTCTGTGACTTTTCTGCCAGAAGTTTGCACCATTTCAGGAAATCTGCACAGTAGCCATCAGCCAACTACTGCACCTGTCAAGGGACTGGCAGCAACATGCACAAACTTAGACACCCTTCATAAAATCCATGTGATCTGCAGTGTTTATCCACAAAAGAGCAAATGTTCTGCAGGAAAAAGTCCCAGAAGAAGCAACTTTCCAACTCTGAAGTTCAAAAGATGAAGAACATAGAGAGAAAACAGTACCAGCTACTTGAGACAACTCATGAGTGGGCAAAATCTGCTCCCTCAACCCCAGCAGTCCTGAGCTGCCTGAAATCCCAGTTTCTCCTGCTTCCTACTGATCTGACAGCAGGGAGCCAAGGAGAAGATCCAGGGCAGATTCAGGTGATCAGAACCAACAGGGCTCCCTGGTACAAGTCTACCCATAGGATGTGAGAGCTCCAACAGCTCTCACAGACTGGAAATTCCCAAATCCTTATTTCAGCTCCCAGTGACCTGCAGTGAAGTTGCACAACAACTTCTGAGAGCACAAGGAGCAAGGTGTCAAACACTACAGGGTATTCCAGAAATTTCCACTCCATTTCAAACACCATCTTTCCCTTTAAACCAGAGATTTCCAAGAACTTGGAACCAACAGGGCAATCCCTGCAATACATTAATTTGTGCTTTTACAGATCTTGATTAGTCTAAAGAATTTTTCTGGATATGTTGGTCCACAGTTATTTTATCCACATAGAGCTGGCCTGTGCTTTGCAAGTTCAAAATGCTAATGAACACATAAATAAAATAAAAGCTGGTCCAAACCTGGATGCCATTTGTCAGGGTAAAGGTCTTCTCATCAAGTATTTATCACTTTTCAGGCCACCTCTGAATCTTTGGCAGCTGCTCAGCCTTTCCTATTTTTTTTATGAAAACACGGGCAATTTGTGGAGATTGCCCAGTTTTGCTACTGAAAGTCCAATTATATTTTGGATATTCATGGATCTTTCACAGAATCATTTAGGTTGGAAAAAGACCTCTGAGAGCAACCAACCTTTGACCTTTCAGGTCAAGCAAAATTCTTCTTTGTGATGCACATTTCCTACCAAAAAATTAGAATAACGGAGTTCCCTATCTCCAAAGAATTATGTCACGATAATCCACAAAAACAGGGATTAAATCTACTCTTATTTCCTCACAGTTCAAGCACTTCATGTAGAAAGAACACATTGGCAGAAGACATTTGGGTATTTTGTTATGAGGGATAATAAACAAGGAAACAAGAGAAAGGAGAAGGTTCTTGTTTACCTGGCTCTTGGCACTCTTCTGTCTTCTCCCAAAAATGCAAGACAGGTCCTGTTCAGTGCGTGATGAGAGATCCTTACCTGGAAGGGGTAAAGAGAGGCAAAAACCCCAGAACCTTCACATCTGAGGATGCATTTTGGTAACAGTGTGAGCCACAGACAGAGAGGAATTGCTCATGGAGATAAACAAAAATCAGGAAGTCCAGGTTGGACAGGGCTTGGAACAACCTGGGATAGTGGAAGGTGTCCCTGCCATGGCAGGCGGTTGGAATGAGATGAGCTTTAAGGTCCCTTCAAACCCAAACTATGCTGGGGTTCTATGCTAAAGCCATTAAATGAAGGTACACAAGAGGAAATGTGTGTATGCATTAGGATCTTTGTATTCTCATGAGGATTCCCCATTTCTGACAGAATTAGGGAGTTACAGCTCCTCCACACAGTGAAAAAAAAAATCCATTTTTACTCAGTGGGGACTTCTCTCCGATTTCTGATGTAGGTTCTGAAAAGCAAAACCTCCACCTCTGCCACACACTGGGTTATTCCAACACAAAACCATTTCAAGGGTGAAGCAAAGATTTCCAGGAGGGCCATTATTCCCATCTGATTGTCGTGTGGTGAGCTGGATATCAGACATGGAGCAAAGAGGGGAAGCAGGAGGGTGTGATGTGATATTCAGAATTACAAGCACAGGTTTATCCAGTTCCACAGAGCAGGGGCTGTTGAGTTGTCCACTGCTTCCGTCAGAAAATTCTTTTGGAAAAGGTCAGCAAAAGTTAAAGGAACAAAATTTACCCAGACAGGTCAACTTGTTAAGACTTTGCTGGGGTCTCAATCACCTGATTTTCTGATTCCAAAATCAGTGACCTCAAAATGAATCTTGTAATGGCCAAAACATCCCCCCCCCAAAAAAAATAAATAAAAAAATCTCCAAATCTGACTTTCTTTTTCCTGGGATCCTTAACTGCGCCCAAAGGGTAAAGAGACACATCAGCCTAGAGGAACAAGTGCTCCTCACTTTCCTGCTGCCTCACTGTACTGCCTCTAAATGGCCTTGTCCAAGCAAGCTGGAAGAGACTGGGTTGTTTTCAGCTTTCTCTTGGCCAAGGCTGGGAAGGTGAAACCTAAAATCCTCCTGCTCTCGTCTTTGGGCGACGCTCCCTCTCTGTGCCTCCCCCTGGATGTATCCCCCGTTGTTCCTCTAACAGAAAACCAGATCTGCTGACAACCCCAGTCTCCTGCAGCATCACAGGGGAGCAGCTGCTAGGAAAGCAGCTGAAATCAGCGTTTTAATCTGAGGTTGGGGTGTATTTCCCAGATCCAGGGGTGGCTGTTCCTCCAGCAGTGAGGCTCCAAACCAGCCCCGGGAGCGGAAGCCGCGTTTGGTGCCGTCGCTGTTCCCTTCTCCCGCTTTTGTGTGAGCTTGTCTTGTTTAGTCTGAAAGGAAGCAGGACTGGACTTCAACAACAAGGGCCACGACAACACGAGCCTTTCTCAAATAACTTTTCCTCTTTCCCTGAAAAAGGACAATTTCCCTGTGTCAGGCCACAGAGGGTGCAAGCAAATGAGGGGCTGCCTTGTGGAAACGTGACCAAACAAATCGGAGATTTTGTGAACATGAAAGGTTTGAGCTGTACTTTACATGCTCAAAAGACACTTCTTTTTTCCTCTATATTTAGTAAAAGATTAAATCCAAATCAAAATAAATCCTCTTTGCTCAAACAGGTCATGGCCTCTGTACTTGCGAGCCCTGAACCAATTTAATTGTTTAATGTCATAAAGTGGCAGGCTCACATTAACAGCTTGGACTTCAAGGTCGAGTTATTTCACCAAAAATCCCAAACCCTGATATGAAAATCTGGCCTCCATTCAGATATCAATTAGCTCCATTTTAGCAGAGGCATTTGCTGTCAGAAAACATTACACAGAGCTTTCAGTTTAATAAATCAGCTATTAGTGGAAACTGATCCTATCCATGCCCTGAAATGGGCACACACCGTGTGAATGGGGAACAGAGCAAAAGGGAAAGGACTGAACAACTGTCAAGGGCCAGAACCTGGGCTAACTGAAATAATGTCATCACTCTAAGATAGAAAGGAATTACTAAACTCCACAAGTTCTTGATCAGAGTTTTTCTGGCTGCCCTAATTTATCCCATAAAGTACCTGGTGGATGTAAGAGGGTTTTCCTCTTCCTCCATGCAGGTTTAATCTGATCCCTGATCTCATCCACATGATCTGTGAGCAGGGGTTACTGGGGATTGCAGGGTTAGAGCCACACAGATGCCCAAGTCACTCCCATCTCACCTCTGCCTCCTGCTCCCATCCCTGCCCACGCCCCGACCGCTCGGAATATTCGCTGCTCCTTTGTTCATCTCCTTCACTAAGGAATTGTTTCATTCCCAACATCAGCAGCCTAAGGTCATCCAGAATTGCCCAAAATAAAGAGGAACAGCACATTAGAGCTTTAAGCAAGTTGCTGCAGGGGGTGTTTCTAAACCCAGGTTTTACTTGCCAAATTTAGACTCCCACAAGGCAATAGATCACCTTGAGCAGGGCTTGCTCTAATCTTGGCCAGGGCTTATGAAACAACAAAACTCCTCTTACCTTTGGCAAACTTCATATAATGGACACGGTTCTTGGAAGATTTGGATTTTTCTTCGAGGCTGAATGTCTTTTTCTTCTTTTTCACTGAGGATTCTAAAAAAACAAACCCCAAGCAAACAGGGTCCAACTCTGTTAGAGACACTTAAGCACAAAATTCAAACATCAGTGTAATTCATTTTCTCTCTCAAAATCCAGTCAACAACATATCATAAAGTATTACTGAAGGAAGCATTCTAAGTTTTGTCTGAAATATGTCAGTGCTTGTTTTTTGGTTTTTTTGCCCCCTCCCCCTTCTTTCCCATTTCCAATCCAATTTAATTTGAAAAGCCAGATATAGGTACTCCAGGTCAAAGGTAAATCCATCTCTGTGGTAAGAAAATAATAATAGTGCTGTTTTTCATAGAGTATCTCCAGCACAAAAGCCTGAGAAAGATGTAAGAAATAGTAGGAAATACTGATTGAGCAGAAAGAAAAATGAGGGGAAACCCCCACCACCATAAGATTTTCATTTCTAACCCTACACAAAATACCTTTATTTGGACAAAAGCTGATACATCTGTGTAAGGAAACTGAATGGTGACACAGCTTTTCTGTCCCCGAGGCCAGCTACAACAAATTGCCACATCTCCATTATCTCATTTTCCAGGCTTCCAGAAGAGAGACTGCATCTAAACTGTCCTCTGGGAATGGTCTCTGGGGCTGGCTCACTCCCAGAGTCACTCAGGAGTACTTTGGGAGGCTGTGAACAGGTTAAAGCCACGTGAAGGATTAACCTCGCTATTTAACAGCGCAGAGATCACGTTCCTGTGCTGTGCCAGGTTATTTTGGGGGTACAAATGTTCTCCTTGCAGCCACAGAGCCTGCTATTTCACAAAACATTGCCAGAAAGAGAGAATTCACCTGTTGAACAGTTAATTACTGCCTTGTTAGTACTGAAAAGAGGCACCACAGGAGTCTCTGCTCTGTAACTCCACAGAAGGTTACTATGGTGAGGTGGTTTTCTTCCTCCCAGTGGGATGGGTAAGGAAATCAACCCATACCCCGAGGGCCAAGTTGAGTCACCTTTTTTATATGATCCCACCCTGGAAAAGCTCTGCTGCCCAAACCTTTCTGACACTGGATTTCCAGCACTTCCCTGCTTGATAGGCAGTGCCACCAGATGAATCCCTGAGCTAAAAGTGAAATCCTCAGCCTGCAGTGGGAGAGCAGGCTGAGATCCACTCTCCCACTCCCAAACTAATGGGAAGAGAAAGGACCAGCAAATCCGGTTTTTAACAAAAACTCCTCAATAAAAAGGGTCTGTGGGGAAAGTAAGGATCACAACTAAACTATCCTGACAGTGATGCAGCACTTTGAGCCTGGTTTCCAATCTCTTGGTAGCAAAAGGAGCACTACACAGCAAAGGGTTTCCACAGAGCCTTCCTCCTCCACTGTTATTCCTGCCGGGAAAGGGGCAGCAGCACCGCCTCGTGCCTGCAGGGAGGAATTCCACTACAGAACATGCTGGCACTTGCAGTGGGCAGGGAAATAAATCCCTGTCTTCCAGGGACCTGGAAAATCATCTGACAAACTGAGCAAGCACTGCAGGAATATTAATGTGCTTTTTACAGGAATTTAGTCGGGGCAATAAAGCCACGGAAGTGGCATTTCTGCAGCAAATGGGATCGAGGTGGATCTGCCAAAGCACAGCCAGGGTGTTGTTCCCACTGTTTATCCATGGGAAAGGGAAAGTCATCATCACTAAGGATCCCAGCTAAAGAACCAGGAATTATAGAATGGTTTGGGTGGGAAAAGATGATGGAGTCCCAACTCCCACTATCCCAGGCTGCTCCAAGCCCCATCCATCCTGGCCTTGGACACTTCCAGGGATCCAGGGGCAGCCCCAGCTTCTCTGGGCACCCTGTGCCAGGGCCTCCCCACCAGTGGATGAACTTCTTCCTAACATTTAATCTAATTTAAACCTGCCCTCACTGGATGCTCAGCTAGGGAAAAAAAAAAAAAAAAGGAAAAGACAGCTAAAGCTACATACAAATACCACTGAGGGTATTTGAAAGTTGGCATCAACCCCCACGGGGCCCTTCCTTTCCGACCTCTAATTGCAATCCAGCTCTGGCAACTGCACCAGTTCTTCAAGAACAATGAAGTTTTTCAGTGACTTTTAATGCTGTTTGAAACTGGAGGGTGTCCAATAAAGTAACATTTGCTCCTGCAGCACAGCTGCAGGCAGAGTTTTTTCTGGATCAGTTTTGCCAGCTTCAACAATTGCCAAAAAAACAAGTTTCAGAGCGATCCCTTTCTGTAAATCAAAATGTGACTCTGACCTGGAATTTTCAAGGTGCGCCCAAATTTGTTCTCAGTGACTGAAAACTTGTCCCAGATTCTAAAAGGACCTAAAGAACTGAGTGAAAACAGGGAGAAATCTGAGTTTTCAAGGGTCACTTTGCATGAGGTGACCCAGGGAAGAGTGCAAAGCTTAGGACCAAGTCCTGCTCCTTGAACCTGCCTCTGCTGACTCACCATGGCCCTGGGCAAGTCATTTCAGCTCTCTGCTCATCAGTCTGCAGGTTTCCCACCAGTTACACCTCCCTGATCTTCCCAGGGCTCAAGTTGCAACTTGGGTAGGATTTTGTTCTGAAGGGAGACAGGAACTTTTGGAATTTCCCCATGAAATGCTCTCCTACTTTCTCCAGGAGCTGAGTGACAGCACCGAGTCCTGGGTGGCCTCATGATTTCACAAGGACAGCTCGCACAGCAAGTTAAAAAAAGTGTTTTGAGGCATCAGGCTCAGAATTTTAGAATCAGAATTAGAATTAGAATTTTAATCCTAGTTCTCCAGGATTAGAAAACTTCCTTGCTAAATTATTTTCCTTCTTTCTACATTTTCTCTCCTAGAAAACCTTCAGTGCTCAAAGGTTAAGAATGAATGAATGAATGAATGAATGAATGAATGAATGAATGAATGAATGAAGAGTTGCTAAATTCACTAATCTGGCAATTCTGCCCCAGCAGCACAAGGACAGGGCTGTGTCCAAGCAGGAGCCCTCAGTTTAACAACACTCCAGAGAGGTGTTCAGATGCAAAATGAGAGTTTAAACTACATTTAATTAAAGGAGAGATGATAAATCACTCGATAAGCCAATTATTTCTCTAAGCTCATACCCACCATCACTTCCTAAATTCATTTTCACAAATGGTGAGTTTGTAAGATTTTCAAAAACAGAAAACTTTTAAAATAGCCCTTTTGGGAAAGTTTCCCCACTTGTGTGCTCAACACCAGGGCTACAAAAATCACTTTATGTCACACTCAAAGCAGAGATGCAGAACTCTGAAGGAAAAGCTACAGAGCAGCTCTCTAAGGACAGGAAAAGGAGGTATTTAAGAAGCCACTGGAGCATGAAAACCAAGTGACAGTTCATCAGCAGAAGGAAGGCAAATATTGCTATGCTGAGTGATTGTTGTGAGCCTTCAGACAGATTCTGGGTGCTTCATAAAGAAAGAAATGTTCCTCTAGGTACAGCCCAGGGAAAGTGTCCCAAATATTGTGTTCTTGGATGAAATAAACAGGTTTAGCATTTTATGTTTTCTTTCCTCGAGAAAAAGCCTTTCTTTGAGTCCTGAGAGCAAAACTGATCCACTGAGATCCACAAATCCATCACCATGGATGGCAACACAGCCTTTGGCTCCCAGTGATTTTGGGGAGGGAGTTCTCAACCGCATCAAAGATATTTGCATCACAAACTGGGCCTCAGGAACTTTTTTAAGACACAGAATGGAAACTCTGCTGAGCTTCCAGCACCTGATTGAGCCAAGCATGAACCTACCTGTTTCACCCTGTCCATGGCAGTTATTCAGCTCAGCCAGAAGCTGGTTGAAGTCATCCTGATGAGCAATCCAGTTGTCCTGTAAATATCACCCACATGAATGTAAGGCAGAAGTCTTCAGAACTAACACATGTTTTACAAAAGTAAAGGTATTAAGACTCTTAGAAGTAAATTAATTGGTTATATTCAATCCTTGTTGGTAGGAGGGACCCTGGGAAGCTCCACAGGTGGTAACACCAACCACAGCTCCTACAGTCACCCCGAAGTGAAATGAAATTAGAAGGGCTGTCTTTGAAAGTCCTGAAGAATCCTGTTTGGTGCGTGCTACCACCAGCTGTGACAACAGATTTGACTAATATTCCATTCAAACAATTGTGCTTTTTGCTGAAATGGGATCCATTCCCTGCCCTGGGTCTAGTGCTCACCTCGTGATTGATGGTGGCTCCTAATCCCAGCACGTCGTTTTTCACCTTAACCCTGATGTGTTCAGGATTTCCTTGCTCCTGAGCCCCGAGACCCTAAGGAGGATTTGAGGGTAAAAATGTAAGGATTTTACAGCAGCAAATAGAGCTTTTGGCCCATAAGACAGTTCACAAGGAAATACAGCAAGAAATCACAACTTCCTATTAATTTGCCTGCTTTGTAGCTGGATTCATTCACAGGCATTACCACACAACAAACAAAGTTTTTTAAATTCACTACTTCAGCCTCCAGCAAAGCATTATAAACACTAAAATAGCAACAACATGAAGTAGTTGGGTGATTAATGAGGAAGCCACCTGACATTCCTAAGCAAAGTGTTTACAGTTTTCAAACAAGACACTACATAAGAACATGCCTCTCCCCAGAAATGTCTCCGTCACTGGGAAGGGTAATGGGAGTAAGGCAGATCCACATGGAACACACAATTCAGCCCAAATTTATATGGGAGGAGAGCAGGAGGGGGCAGGGGAGAAGCAGACTGGAGCCAGCAGAATATTCACAACTCCTTCTACCCTTGTAAGTGGATGAAAATATTGGAGAAAACAACTTTGGGGTTGTTTAATATCAAGTAATATTCAGATCCAGGGTTATCTTTCTCAACTCTGTGGTCAAAGCTAAAAAATTAAAAAGCAAAGCTTTGGGTTTAAAACCTTGTTCCTGGTATTTTCCCACTTTTTGCCTCATCTGTCACAAATCATCAGCCAAATGTTTTAGAATTAATATACATTTATGTGGTGCTGCAGTGGAGAGAAGCCCTGTAGACACATCCTGGGATATCAAATATTTGAAGGGATGAGGCCTATTTGGAAAAGGCAGTTGCTATTACAAAGAAGAGTTTATTTGGTCAATAGGGTGGAAAATTTGCCTTGAAACTTCTGCTGACCAAAAAGGATGGAAGCAAGCAGGACACTTGGCCACACATCCTTCCCTGACCCAACTCCAGTACAACCAATTACAGGAGTGGTGTTAAGCAGCATCGTTTCACTGCCCAGATGGGCTTCTGCCCCTTAATTTGATGAATGGAAAGTTCCATTTGTCCAAGTTTGCAATGGAATGGAGACATAAATCCTTCCTGTAAAACTGCTGGCAAGAAAGATCCAGTATCTCGAGTGGGAAACATTCTGAGACAACTGAGGGAACAATTTAAATCCAAAAACAGGCTTTAAGGCATTCACAGAATTGAGAATGATCCTAATTTTATGCCTTTTAAGGAAAGTCTGGAAGAGGAAATCTTGAAGAATAATTAAAGGTAGTGGTTTTGTAGGGATTCTTATCACTGAACACCCTGATGTGCAGCCCCAAATCTCAGCTTTGCTGAGGCACCTCTGTGGAATTAAACCTGCAGTTTGTGGGTGTCTGTGCTGACCTGGAGGTTTTAATTAGTGCCTGAAACCAGTCCTCTCATCCACAGGTCATGGCTGGAGCTGGGATGGGACACAGCTCACAGCATTTTAGGGGTTCAAGGAATAGATCAGAAAAAAAAAATCTTCAAACCAGGTGAAAGACTAAAGCAGGTCCTGGAGTTGCTTTAAAGAGTGTCAAAAGCAGGAAGAGACTTGAGGGTTTAAAGGCAGCTTAAAACCTTTAATTTAATGATTTAATGCTCCAACTCCTGTTCTTATTTGGGAATTTAGGTTGTCAGAGAATGGAGAGAAACTGGAAAGCAGAAGAGGCACAAACAAGACTTTGTAACAAAGTGCAGAAATCTCTCACTGCTCAAATTCCCTGCGCATTTGAGAGGATAAAACAAAGGAGAGTCCCCTGGCAGTTTTAGAGCCTTCAGCTACACCATTCTCCTTTAGATCCTACCTTTCCTTTGGACCAGCCCATCTTCTCCAGCATCTTCTGGCCAAATTTGGAGTCATCATTGCTCCAAGCGGTGTTTCGTGGATCCACGGACCACTTCTGCTTTCTCCGGGCTGCAGCAGGAAGGGAAAATTCAAACAGGCTCTACTGGCATTCCCAGAGAGCTCCTGGTGTTGGATCAGTTCAAACAAAGCTCTTCATTGCAAAAGAAACCACTCCAGAACTTAGAACTTATGTTCCAGACTGAACATATTTCAGGGGTTAATTTTACTAAATAAAAAAACTCAACAACAACAATAAAAGCCCAGTGAAAATATTAATTATTAATGGGAAGATGCCAAAGTAGGATTGCTACGGAAGTTGCTGTCCCTCAGGATGGGCTGCAGTTCAGGGAAGGCTTTAAGGATTACCATTTAGGTGTAAATTCCATATTTATTCCAATTTTGTTTTACATCTGGCTTCAACATGGAATCTACAGGGGAGGAGATCATGAGGCTCCTTTCCCAGTTCTGGACAAAATCAATTCTCCAGGCTTCCCTTTAACCAGAACCCACAAATGTTAATATTCTAACAAATATTTCTAACAAAAAAAAAAAAAATCCAGTGGAAGTGAACGGGGAAAGGGAATGACAGAACACAAACCCATGGGATTTCAGCTTTTGAATTTCCCAAAAATTGTTTACAGGGAAATTGAAAAGCTGCCAGAAATTATTGTGGGAGTTAAGAGATCCAAAGGACAATCAAGGCTCCTTTGTCCTATGTGGATTCCTAAAGAAATTACAGATTCCCAGACCCACATGTTGCCTTTCCCAACAGGAACAGCTTCCTTGAAATCAAGGAAGAGCAGCCAGCCCAGTTAACCAGTCACTTGAAGTGTGCACCTAAGCCCAGGCAGGAAGAGAACCTAAATAAACAAGACAAACAAAGAATGGGAGACAGGAAGATCACAAACTCCATCAAACACCATGGGAAATGCTGGATCAAAAATGACCGGTTAACCCAAGGCCACACAAAGGCAGGGAGAAGCCAAATCCAACGAGGTGTTTTCAATGTAATCAGGAAGTCATCTTTCCCAAAAAGACAAGATTTGGGATTTGGGCCAGAGGGACTGAATATTACAGGGATGTCTGACTCATTTTTTGCCCAGTTTTGTTTCATTTATAAGGAACTAAGACTGTCAGAATTCAAGGTGGAGGCTTTTTTAAACACACTTCCGAAACTTTGAAGCTCCAAACAGCCCCTGAACAGTTTTTACAGTGGGTTAAAGGCCCAAGGGCTGCGAGGGGAATCCAATCTTTGCCTGGTTCACTTCTCTACAGGAAACAACTTATTAACCTCAGAGGCTGTGGCTGCCCCAGGATCCCTGGAAGTGTCCAAGGCCAGGCTGGACAGGGCTTGGAGCAACCTGGGATAGTGGGAGGTGTCCATGGCAATGGAAAGGCGTGGGATGAGATGGGCTTTAAGGTCCCTTCCACCGCAAACCATCCTCTGTGATTATTCCCACCAGGAAACCTTGAGAGCAGCAAATCCACCAAGCCAAGTGCTGCCAAGAAAAGATGGGGAAGCAACACTGTGGTCTGTGATTTTAAACTCCCAAACAAACTGGGATCACCATGGAGAACCACAGGGCTCAGCCTGGAGAAAAGGAGGCTCAGGGGGCCCTTCTGGCTCTGCACAACTCCCTGACAGGAGGGGACAGCCGGGGGGGTCGGGCTCTGCTCCCAGGGAACAGGGACAGGAGGAGAGGGAACGGCATCAAGTTGTGCCAGGGGAGATTTAGATTGGACTTGAGGGAAAAAATTCTTCATGAAAAAGGTGGTCAGACATTGGAACAGGCTTCCCAGGGCAGTGCTGGATTCTCCATCCCTGCAGGGATTTAAAAGCCATGTGGATGTGGCCCTTGGGGACATGGCTCAGTGGTGGCCTTGGCACTGCTGGGGGATGGTTGGACTGGATGATCTCGGAGATCTTTTCCAGCCTCAAAGATTCTGGTTCAAGGATTCCAACAGCTCTTATGTTCCCCAGCTGAGCAGCTGCCCTTCTTTTCAATCACAGCTTCAAAAATGAGTATCTATGGTTTTTCCTGACTATCTCTCCCTGTGGAAAAGCCCCTGAGATGCTTTGGTCCCAAAAGGCTGCTGGTAACAAAGCACAAAGGCACCTGACACAAATATTTCTTAAAATCAGTGCTTCCCTTTCCCAGCACTTTCAATCTAAGTGTTGAAAACTTCCTAGTTACACTGAGTTAATCCTCACATTTCTGCCAGGTTAACATACTCTGATTTTTAAACAGGGTGAGCTAAATGCACAAAAAACCCCAAACAAACTTGCTTTCATCCTTAGAGAAGCATTTAAGGAAGCCAGGACCAGCTCCATGCCATTTACAGAAAACATAAAATCATCTTCCTTTTCCAAACAAACAGAAAAATCCACTAATTAGTGAATAATTTATCAGAAGTGTAAATTTGTTCACTGATGTCTTTAGAGTGGGAGAGGAAACCATGTACAAGATTCAGCTCCTAATTTAACACAAATTTTCCAGGCTGCTTCAAAAATGATGCCACAAATGGTGGTGATGAAACTCTGGGAGAGCAGCACCATCCAGTGGAGAAAATCCTCATTTCTTTAGGGAATCACAGAATCACTGAGGTTGGAAAATACCTCCAAGATCACCAGGTCCAACCATTCCCAGCACTGCCAAGGCCACCACTGACCCATGTCCCCAAGGGCCACATCCAAATGGCTTTTAAATCCCTGCAGGGATGGGGACTCCAGCACTGCCCTGGGCAGCGGTGTCAGGGCTGGACAACTCAAATTCTTCACTCAGGTATTCTATGATCTGGGAAAGATCCATTACTAATCCCTTTTTCAAGATTAATTCTATGCCTGGAGCATGTTTTTAATTTTGATATCTGAAAGTTCCCATCCAAACTCCTGCTGTGTGCCCAGAGATGGTCTGGGGGCACAGGAAGGACGAGGCTCTCGAGCCAGGCTGGGAGAGCTGGGGGTGCTCACCTGGAGAAGAGAAGGATCCAGGGAGAGCTCAGAGCCCCTTCCAGGGCCTAAAGGGGCTCCAGGAGAGCTGGAGAGGGATTTGGAACAAGGACATTGAGGGACAGGACACAGGGAATGGCTTCAAAATTACAGAAGACAGAGTTAGATGGGATATTGGGAAGGAATTCCTGGCTGTGAGGAAGGTCAAGCCCTGGCACAGGGTGCCCAGAGAAGCTGTGGCTGCCCCTGGATCCCTGGAAGTGTCCAAGGCCAGGCTGGATGGAGCTTGGAGCACCCTGGGATAGTGGGAGGTGTCCCTGCGCATGGCAGGGGGTGGAATTGGATGAGCTTTAAGGTTCCTTCCACTCCAAATATGTTTATTATTGACAGGTCCAATTAAAATAATTAAAAAATTCTGAAAAATTGACACCAAAGTTCACACTGAAAATACCTAAAAAATTCCATGTGCAAATGCAGATTTGTTTTTTCTCAAATCACATCTTTATTTCCTACAGTAAACTGTATTTGTTATTTGTACTGTCCATATCTCCTGCAGCCCAGCAAACAAATTCACCAGACCCTGAGCTCTCAGTCAAGGGTGCCCTGTCAGAAAAGGGGAGCCCAACTTCTCAATCACCTCAGAGGCAGAACTGAAAGTTTTTGTTTCCAATACTAGGGAAATTTAAACAAAATTCACAGAATCATGGAATACCCTGAGCTGGAAGGGACCATTCAGACCCCAAAAATCCCACCCTGGGCATCCCTGAGAGCGTTGTCCAAACACTCCTGGAGCTCTGGCAGCCTTGGAATGTCACCATTCCCTGGGGAGCTCTTCCAGTGCCTGACACCCTCTGGGCAAAGAACCTTTCCCTGATATTCATCCCAAATTCCCCTGACAGCTCCAGCCCTTTCCTGGGTCCTGCCCCTGTCACTGGGAGCAGAAACTGGAGCTGCCCCTCAGGAGGAGCTGCAGCCCCCAGTGAAGTCTGAGCTCCGTCTCCTCCAGCTGAACAAACCCAGTGCCTTCAGTCACTCCTCGTGTGGCCCCTCCAGACCCTTCCCCACCTCCAAATCCTCCTCTGGAAGATCTCTAAAAGCTGGAGATCGGCACAGATTGAGCTCAGCTCTGGTGCTGCCCCAGAAATGACCAAAGCACCAAACCCAGCCCCAACACACGGCCCTGTCACGTCCCCTGGGTGTCCCCAGCCCCAACACATGGCCCTGTCACGTTCCCTGGGTGTCCCCAGCCCCAACACATGGCCCTGTCACGTTCCCTGGGTGTCCCCAGCCCCAACACATGGCCCTGTCACGTTCCCTGGGTGTCCCCAGCCCCAACACCCCGGCCTGGAGGTGTCTCCCCTCAAACACATGGCCACAGATGGCCCCAAGCCACTGACAGGACAAGCTGTCCCCAAAGGTGTCCAAGGGACATTCCCGCTGCTCCTGCCCTCCCTGGGACACGACAGACCCCACAAAGAACCCCCTGCACCCCCTTATCCTGCACCAATATCGCCTGGAACCCTTTCCTGGCCATCCCAGCCTCCAGATCGCATCTTTTCAGCCTGGGACCCTCCTGATGCCCCTTCCTGCCTTCCCCAGACCCCAGATCCTCTGTTTTTCACCCCCAGGGACGCTTGAAACCCCTTCTCTGCCTCAGCCCGGATCTCCCAGTCCGCTCTTTCCGTGACCCTAGGATCCCCAGACCCCCATTCCTGCCTTTCTCACACCCGAACCCCCTCGTTCTTCAACATCGGGGACCTCCTGAGCCCCTTTTGCCGCCCCGGCCTGGGTCTTCCAGCTCCCAGACCCCTCACTTTCCCAGATCCTGGGGGATCTCCATTCCTGCCTTTCCCAGCTCCCAGTTCTTCAACACCGGCAACCCCCTGCACCCTTTCCCGGCCATCTCGGGATCCCCCCCCTTCCCCTGACACAGGAGACCCCATTTCCTGGACAGAGGAACCCCTCATCCCTCTGTCCCAGTCCCTGCACTCCCCTTTCCTTAACTCTGGAACCCGCTTCCCCAGCACCGGAACGCCCCGAACCCCTTTATCCGGCCCTGGGACCCCTCCGCACCCATCGGGACGGGCAGCGCGGCCCGGACCCCTCAGGCAGGGCTCTGGGGAGGGTCTGAGGCCGCTCCCGGGGCACCGGCTCGTCCCCATTCCCGCGGCATTCCCGCCGGGATCGGCACTCACGCTCCGCCAGCATCGCCATCTTGGGGGGCCTCTCCCCGTGCGCGGGGACTTTCGTGACCTCCGGCGCACAGAAAGGGCGACCTGAGTAGCGCCTGATTAAAAAAAAGTTTTAAAACAGGCGAGCGCGGCGGCCACCACAGTGCAAATAATAATAAAAAAAAATTTAAAAAAAAGAAAATAAAGTTTGGAAATTTTCTAAAATTCTGATAAATATCTGAAAACGCATCTCGGTTGCGTATCGGCTGTTTCCGAGCCGGGGGAAGGGGATGAGCAGCGCTTGCTGTGTATGGTTGGAAATAAGGGGTACGGGTAGGGTGAATATTCCAGGGAATTTCAGGTGTGATGTCCCTGGATTTCCCCAAATCCCGCTGTGGTGGGAGGAAACTGGCCGGGGGGATACAGAGGCATCTTGAGAAACATCTTTTCCTTTCTGTGAAATGTGTGTGTGGGGAAATTATTTTTTCCTTTCTGCCAGAAATTGTATTTGGGGAGTGAAGCAACCCCTTCGATGAGGTGCTGAATCAAAGCTCTTCTATGCAGGAATCCTTTTTTGTAATTACGTTCTTGAGCCCTTGGTCTTTTGTATTTTCTTGGATTTTTAGCATCTCTTCGCTTGTATTATTTGAAGAACAGCACCCAAAATATGACTGAGTTCTTCAGGCAGCTTCCTCTGGCTCCTCTCTGCCTACATTTTGCACCTAAGTGCAATATTTTTTTCTTTAATATCCCTTTTATAGGAGTGCTGTGTAGAGATTTTATGTTCTGTGTTTGTGGAGTGTGTTAATTCTTCTTTTACCCTCTACTGAATCAGTGATTGCGTCTTTCCATGTTGTTGTGATGCTCTGAATCGTGGGTATTTGGTGTTTCTCTTTCTCTTTCCTAAACTGGAGTGACCTGGAAGTGTCCCAGGAGTTCTCAATACCTCGAATGAGGCTGATGATGGGAGGACTGAGCCCAGAATCCCAGGCTGGATCAGGCTGGAAGGGACCACAGGGGCTCCTCTGGTGCCACCTCCCAGCTCCAGCAGGGCCATCCCAGAGCACAGGGATTGTGTCCAGGCAGTTCTGGAATATCCCCAGTGAGGAGACTCCACTCCCTCTCTGGACAATCTGCTCAGGGCTCGGTCACTGCACTGGGAAGTTCTTCCTCCTGTTCAGGTGGAACTTGCTGGGATCAATCCCTGCCCGTTCCTCTGCTGCCATTGCTGGATCCCCATGGAGCAGAGCCTGGGCCCTGCTCTGAGCCCTCCCTGCTCACAGGGACACCCAGGGATGAGGTTCCCTCTCAGGATCTCTCTCCTCTCGAGGCTGAACAGCCCCAGCTCCCTCAGCCTTTCCTGGGCAGGGAGATGCTCCAGGCCCTTCCTCATCTTCATCACCCTCTCTGGACCCACTGCAGAAGCTCCGTGTCCCTCGTGTCCTGAGGAGCCCCAAGCTGGACACAGCACCCCAGATGTGCCTCACAGGGCTGAGCAGAGGGGCAGGATCGCTCCCTGACCTGCTGGAAATGCTCTTCCTGGAGCACCCCTGGATCTCTTTGGCCTTCTTTGCCCCCTGGGCACTGCTGGTCAAGGACACCTTCCACTCTCACAGGTTGATCCAAGCCCTGCCCAACTTGTCCTTGGACACTTCCAGGGATCCAGGGGCTGCCACAGCTTCTCTGGGCACCCTGTGCCAGGGTCTGCCCACCCTCACAGCTGAGAATTCCTTCCCAATATCCCATCCATCCCTGCCCTCTGGCAGTGGGAAGCCATTCCCTGTGTCCTGTCCCTCCATCCCTTGTCCCCAGTCCCTCTCCAGCTCTCCTGTAGACTCCCTTCAGGTACTGGGAAGCCACAATAAGGTCACCCCAAATCTTCTCTTCTCCAGGCTGAACAAGCCAAATTCCCTCACCCTCTCCTCACAGGAGAGGATCAGGACAGATTTCCCACTGCTCTTTCTCCATCTCTCCTCCCATCTGGATGGCAGCTGGGTTACAGCTCCCCTGGCTCAGCTTTTCCCACTGCTTTGCCCCTGTGCCTTTGGATTTATGTTACAGTTCCCTGTTTGCTTTGGGAACACTGTGCAAGACAGTTTTTATGGGGTTTTTGTCTTGCAAACAAACATTATGTCTGTGTCTGTTCCTGTCTAAGACCCCTTCTGTCTGTCAGCATTGATACGATGGAGCTCGATCCTGGCAAATCTCTAAATTTATAATTAGCTTGGTGATTTATTTTTAATAGTTCATATCAGGTTTTATTAAACTGGCTGCTCTGGCTGCCCCAGTTCCTCCTTTAAACAAGGGCATTGAACTGGTCCTTTTATACTTTTCTGAGGCCATTTCCTGCTGCCAGGAATCCTCACAGGGTTTGTTTTCTCCAGACTTTATTGCCAGTTCTCTGCACTTTCAGGTCACATTCATCAGGCTCGAATGATGTGAAAACAAATAAATACTGCCCAGGCCGTCACTGTGTGGCAGAGAGATATTTTCCTGTTCAAAAGTTTCACTTAATGCTTTCGTCCAGGAGGAAATCCTTGGAGATCAGAATCAGCCATAGAAGAGCTTTCTTTCTGTTTTCATAGAATCATACAGAATCACGGAATCATTCAGGTTGGAAAATCCCTCCAAGACCATCGAGTCCAACCTGTGACCGATCCCCACCTTGTCCCCAGCCCAGAGCTCTGAGTGCCACGTCCAGACCTTCCTGGGACACCTCCAGGGATGGGAACTCCAAACCTCCCTGGGCAGCCCCTGCCAAGGCCTGACCACCCTTTCAATGTAGAAATTCCTCCTGATGTCCAACCTGAACCTCCCCTGGCACAGTTTGAGGCCGTTCCCTCTCCTCCTGTCCCTGTTCCCTGGGAGCAGAGCCCGACCCCCCCGGCTGTCCCCTCCTGTCAGGGAGTTGTGCAGAGCCAGAAGGGCCCCCTGAGCCTCCTTTTCTCCAGGCTGAGCCCCTTTCCCAGCTCCCTCAGCCTCTCCTGGTGCTCCAGCCCCTTTCCAAGCTCTGTGTCACCACATCTGCTTCCCAGTGCTCACAGCTCACTCATCAGCATCCTTATAGTAACATTCAGGTTGGAAAAAACTTCCAAATCCAACCATCCCCCAGCACTGCCAAAGCCACCACTGCCCCATGTCCCCAGGTGCCACATCCACATGGTTTTTAAAACTTTCCAGGGATAGGAACTCCACCACTGCCCTGGACAGCCTGTTTCAATGTTTGACCACCCTTTCAGTGAAGAAAATGTTCCTCATATCCAATCTAAACCTCCTCTGGCACAACTTGAGGCCATTTCCTCCTCCTTTCAGGGAGTTGTAGGAAGTCTTCTCCTCCCCTTCCACCACCACCCAGGCATTCTCTGTAGTGGCCACTCTTTGCTGTCATCTGGATCTGAAATAAAAGAATTTATCCTTCCCTTATCCTTCTACCTGCATTCCCTGATCCAAGTGCCCTTCCTGGCAGCCATTTCCATGAATTATACTTCTAAGATCTCTTTTACATCAATGAAATTGTGTCGGGTGTTTGGGTGGTCACTTGTGTGATCCACTTCACACCAGCCGAGTTCTGCTCTGGTTGTAATTTTGGAGAGAGATTTTGGCTGAGTTGTTGTATTTGATCGCTCCAATAGGGAGCAGCATTCCCCACGTTTGGAACAGCTTCGTTGTGGTATGAAGACATCACTGGAGGAGGAAAATGTGAAGTAATTTCTGTTAAAGGATGCCTTGAGGTGGAGATTTTTCTCTTGTTTGCTTTTGAAACTTAATATTCGGCTGCATCAGAGCACTTCTGCCTCCAGAGCTCTCACTCCCGCCTGGCAAAGAATCACAACTCAGAACACAAAGGAGGTCGTACTTGATTTAATTATTATTTAATATTTGCTTAACGGGAAGCTTGAGCTCAAGGTCTAAATTATCTGACACAGTTCTTGCAAATTAGGAGTTTATAAAACAATTAAGTCCACGAATATGCATAGGGGCAGTGAAATCAGGCAGAGAAAAGGCTCCATCCAGGGGCACTGTGTGTTTCCCAATTCCATTCCTGACTAAAAGCTGGTGTCTCAGGAAACAAAAATATATGAATGTTTGAATATATATTTTCTGCTATGGGTGATTACAGCCTTCTAAGAAAATAGCCTCAAATCCTGTTTCCAGTGTACTTGGGGAGGTTGAGATGTAGCTCTGCTCTGGAAAATAAAGGGATAAAGATGCCTGGTGGCCATTCCATTTGGAGTTCTCCAGCAATTCCTCCCAAGGGTCTTCCTTGGAAAGAGATATTTCCCGAGAACCAGCCCTGCAAGGATCAGCCAGGGCTCGGCGTCTGAGCAGGGAGATTTCCTCCCAGCACGTCCTTATCGATTGCTGTCAGCTCCGGAGTCCCTTCAGGCTTCGGGGAATTCCTTTGGTGCCACTCCCAGACTGAGTTGGGGTCATAGGGAAAGATCCAGCTGGGATGAACAGAGCCAGCAACACGGGAATTGAAACAGCAGGAAAGTGGAGGAGGGGTTGGAAGCACATCTGAGCCTGATACTCACCTTGCTGACCCCTTTCCTCCTGGAGAAGACCCTTGTAAGGAGAGAATTGCATTTCCCAGCTAAGGAGCAGCTCCGTGCCCTGCAGAAGGGCCCCATTCCATGCCCCATAGACCAGGAAGATGTGAGGAGGGAGAGGCAGCCAGGAAAAGAAAAGGGAGGGGGAAAAGGAGGAGGAAAGCGAGGAAAGGAATAGGATGAGAGTCCAGGCTGTGCAACAAATCCTTTGCGAGGCAAACCAGCCTCTGTTGTGTGATAAATGGCTTGAGGCCAGGCTAGAAATGCTTATTGAGGGAGTCCTGGGAGAGGTGTGATGGAAGCACTAGGGACAAGGACTGCCTGGAGACCTTAAAACGACAAGACAGCTTTGATTTCGGACACTGATTCGAGGGAGCACATGGATTAGAGGTGAGCTCTGGTGGGAGAAGCCGCCCATCAAGCGCCAGGCAGGGAGCAAGAGATTAACAAGGTGTGACCCAGGGAGCACAGGATGTCACAACGAGTGACCACAGCTGGGAGATGAG